ATGAATGTATTTTACAACAATACAAAGAGCAATGTAACATTTGACCAGATTTAGTCCTACACTTATTCACTTATATTTGTTCCCCACTAAATAATGTTATTTCACTAAATGTTTAGATTTTATAAAATTATTGTGCACTCATGATTTTTCTAGAATAACTTTTGCTGCTGAATTATTCACTAACCTAGTTTATAATAGTATTTTTGTCATAGATTATGATTATATATTTGTTCAATTGTTATTTTTCTTTAAAATTAAGTTGTCTATATTTAGTGGATTGTGTTTAACACACAAAACAGTGACGATCAGGTCAACACACTGAGGTGTAGAAATTCTACGTTGACTAAAAAAAAAACAGTGTTGGTATCGGATCGGTATCGGTATCGGCCGATACTCAGAATTTTTGGTATGGGATCGGTTCTGAAAAAATGGTATCGGTGCATCCCTAATTGCTTTTACTGTTCTAAAACACAGATTTGTGAGCATTATTGGAATTGAGGATGTTAGAGTGAACCCGAAACACACATGCTCGTTATCATGCGGTGAATCTGGCCAATCATGAAACAGCTGCACCGTCATCAGAGCTCCTTCAACTGCTCTGAAGAAACTGCGCCGGCTGAGTTAGCGGGCTGCTCTCAAAACACACTCACGGTAATTTGATGCCACACGTGACTAGGGTTGGGAATCGAAAATCAATTCTAATTCCAGAATCGGATACTTAAGGTCAGGAATCGGATACTTGTTGTAAAATTTAAATTTCAATTCCGCCTATCGATTCCTGTGTGCGCTTTTTTTCTTCATCTGTGAGGACCTGACCTAGCAATCTGCCAGGACCTTGCTCACTAATCTAAGTGCTCCAAAGTTTGGCTACACTTGCGCTCAGAAGCCAAAAAATCTAACTATAATATCATTGATAAGCTAAACATGTTGCAAGAGAGGTGTCACCACAAACATGACAAAGCACTTTAATTTAATAGATTGTTAAAGATCGCGAACACGATTCAAACACCAACGTAATTCTATTCCTAAATTACAATGATTCGTCTGTTTCATTCCTCAAACTTTGACATGTGCAATCACAACATTGTGATCACTTGGTTCGTCCATGCAGTGTACGATTACATCAGTTTGATTTGAACATTTAAATTTGCGTCTGCTGTCAAGTATATGAAACAGCATCACAGTATTTTCAACCACACAGTATCATTATTTCTGTGTTGCAAACATTCAAATCACAGAAGTACTGGGATAAAAGTTTATTTCAGATATAAACTCTGATGGGTACGGTAGCGATTAAAATGGAGTAAATCACCTTTTGAAGTAAAGTAGTAATTTGACACTTCAAATGAAGATTTCTCGATTACATTGTTACGCCAGTAGGTGGCAAAAAGGGGCTGTTAAAATG